GGGGGGGGGGGGGGTCCTGGTCACGTTTTTCTCTACTGCCGCATGCTAGACACCCCACACACGCGTGCCGTAGATGCCATGGCCCTCCCTACAAGCAACCATCGCTGCTGCCGTCGTCTGTGTGTTGGGTGTTGTCCGGCGCCTGCACCCCGCCCTGCCCTCCCCGGAGAGAAGGCTTCGAGAGGCGGTGAACAAGCTGAGTCAAAACACCGCCGCCCAGGTGGAGGAGATGGCCACGCTAAAGGCCAACAACAAGGACATCAAGTGGCAGGTGGGCGTGCGCGCGTGTTGGTGGTGTTGTTTTGATGTTGTTGCAGGAGTGCCGCACAGCTGCTGGCTGTCGTAAAAAAGCAGGATGTTTGTCCGTCGTCTCTCTCAGCGCTCCTCAGCTCCTCTCTCAACGCCTGACAGCATAGCATTTCTTTCCCGACAGTCTTCTCGATAATAGTTCCGGTTCTACGGAGCTCTCCGGTGCACATTGCAAGCTGGGCACGCTGATGATGGGCACACCCCGCGTTGGGCACGCACTGTCATCGATCGACGACGTGTGCAGACCCTCTTCTTCCCAACCCTCCCTTTTCCTCCCACGAAGCCGTCTATTCTGTCGCTGCCGTACGGTCTCACTCGTTCATCATCTGTCTTTCACAACATTCACGCTATGTTTCCCGTGTGGACGCGTGGACACTGTTTACGGTGTATTCGACTCTTCTTTTCTAGTAGTCATCGCGCCGCCCAAAGTCTCTTTATCTCTCTTTCTCGCGTTGTAGTCGATCGACATCATGGATGGATGGGCACTACTACTACACCTACCTCCTCCTCCCGCCAGTCTTCCACCAAGCCCTACCTGCTCTCGTCGTAATGTCTATCGGACTTACTATTTCGTTTGTCTTCAGCTCCACACACAGCTGATTATTTTTCTGCTGTCGTTGTCATCGCCGACGTGTGCATACATGAATGCGATGCTTTGATCTCTCCTCTGGGAAATACGATTTTTAACAATCAACAAGAAGTCAATCGGTTCTCTTCGTTCGGCCGCGGCGGGAAGCGCCGATGACTCGAAAATCTACGATTGTCGTTTAGGGACAACTAATTGGCAAGCATCGTGTACACTGTGTTTTTGTCGCTGATGGCACTCAACATTCAGTATAAACAGTGCCAGGCAACAAGGCGTTGCTGCGTTCGTCCTCGTTCCGGGCTACATGAGGTATAATACGGTAGATATAGTCATGATGGCGATGGCGCGGCAAGCGCCAGTAGAATTGATAGTGTTCTCTTCCAACTGTAGATACATGCCTAGATGCGAACGCCCGGCTGTTCCTGGTCCTTCAAGTAAGTTTGTTCTCCGTTCAAAACAACGCAGCACAGCAGTGGTACGTGCATTTTTCACCTACTGCTTGACCTCGGCACTCTATGTTGACTTTTCCCTTGGACTCGCCCAATTTCGGCGGTGGCGCGAAGTGCCGAGAACCTTGTAGCACTATCGGAACAACCAACGTTGGTGGGCGTTGGAAAGCAAGCGTCCGAGTCCAATCCATTCCTCTCTTGTGTGTGCGTGTTTTTCTTATTAGCATCGACGGCGCTCACCGGCTGACCAATGAAAAGACGTCAGTCCCAGTGCGGCTGAAGACACAAAACACTTCTTAATTCTTGTGTGTTTTCTTATCTGCATCGACCGCGCTACAATGTATTGAAACCGGCTGACCAATGAAAAGACGTCAGTCCCAGCGCGGTTGAAACACAACATGCGTGTGTGCTTTTTTGTGCTGATTCCTGATTTCCTGATTTCCTGATTTCCTGACTTCCGGATTTCCGGATTTCCGGGTTTCCGAATTTCCGGATTCCCGGATGTCCTGTTTTCCTCATTTCCTGATTTCCGGAATTCCGGATTTCCGAATGTCCGGCTTTCCGGATTTCCTGACTTCCTGATTTCCTGATTTCCTGATTTCCTGACTTCCTGACTTCCTGATTTCCTGATTTCCTGATATCCTGATGTTTGGGTTGCGGACACAAGACCACGACGGCCCAAGACCTGCTCAAGTACGACGAGACCGGCGAAGGGGAACGGCGGGAGGAAGGGGAGGATGATGGAGGAGGCCTGGACAACGGCAGGGACACTCTGGACGCGGACTTGGTCGAAATTCGAAAGAGGATAAGGGAAAACGTGAGGAGGCTCCAATATGCACGCCATCCCCGTCTTGACCGTTCGATTCGATACCTACCGCAGCAGTGAATAAATGCCTTGCTTAAAAAATACCGCATGTTTGATGCTCACGACGAGGAAGTATTCAGTGGTGTGGTTTTGCTGCCGACCGCACAGCAGGCCGGTGACGTTTTTGACAGCGATCCGGGTCGCGGTTTCTGTGCGTGTGTTCTTGTTGTTGTTGTCTTGAAGCTTTCATCAGGCGTCATCAGGCGTCATCAGGCGTCATCAGGCGCATGTTGTGGGCAGCACTAAATATCACAGCTTGTCGCTGCACCTGTTTTCTTTTTTCTTTCGAGCGCAACCAGCCGTTTCGCATGCATGCATCTGGATCTACCGTTCGCACTTGTGGCGAAAGCAAGTCTGCAGGGGTAACGCAAAGCACTTGCGGCGTTTTTTTTTGTATATAGTCTCGAACGAGGCGTGTTTTTTTCGAGTTGCGGGTGTGGTGTGGGTTGCGGATGCAGTACTGCTTTGGTGCTGCTGCCGTACATTGCTGTTGGCTCGTCGCCCTGCCTGCTCCTTTTACCTGCCCTCTCCCGGTCCCCGTTCCACTCCTTCGCCCAACCCCCCCTCCCTCAATGATCTAATCACGTACGGCATGCCAAACAAGAGAGTTCGCCTCCCGTCAGTCTCTGATTTTTTTTCGATGCCACCTTGTTCAGAGGAGCAAGATCGAAGCAGCCAAGTCCGACCTCAACGCGACGCTCAAGAGCCGTCGGGAGCGCGGGCCCGACGTCGCCATCAACCCCGCCGCCAACGGCCGCAGCGCCATCGGCCAATCAGCCACCAGGACGCTTCAGGGGCCTCCGTCCCGGCACGCCGCCGCCGACACTCCGGCGTCATCGCGGCGGGAAGCAGCGTCCCCGCTGCCTGGGTCGGCGAGATCAAGGGCCGCCGGCGGCGGGCATGTTCGCGGGGGAGCGATTCACGGCGTTTTGCCCCGGACACGGCGTGGCGCTAGGAGCGGCGGCGGCGGTGGCGCTACCGAAGCAGCGCCTGTGCCGGTGTGTGACCCTTGGGACTCTTTTTGTCTTTGTGCAACCCGTTGTTTGGGTGTTGACTGCGGTGCCCCTTGCGTAGCTCACGTTCTTGTTAAGGTAAGGCATCGTACATGCCGGTTGTTGTTTATTTGTCGTCTTGGTTCTCAGCAGAAACGAAGGTAGAAGTGACCTCTCGAGATACCTCTTCGGGTGCGAATTACCAGCTTGTGTGTCTGGTGATACGAAGAGTTGGGGCGATTCTGTATTCTTCACTTTCTACCTAGCTCTCTCTCTGTCTCTCCCTCTCTCTCTCTTTCACCCGTTTAAGTGGAGGACATTCTGTTCACCACGTTCGCCGCTTACATTGACAAGTGTGTACATGGTGGAGCCTACCAACGCACCCCGTCGGTTTCCCTTCCGCGCTCGCCCCGGCACACCTGTGTAACGTCAAACCTCTCACGTGAACGTCCAGCCCGCTCACGCCCTCCGTTCCTCCTCATTTCCTCATCCCCGCCCCTCCTGTCATCTTTGATGTGTTTTGTCGACCACCGATACCTTCCGCCACATGCTCCCGTTGCCGGCGACAACCTTTCACACTTCCCAGGGATCCGCCGGCTCCTCTTCCTCGTTCGCTACCCCGGAGCGTGGCGTAGCCCCGCCAAGCGCCGCCTCCCAACGGAGACGGTCCCTCGGCGTCGGCGGCGGCACCCCGTCCGCGTCGGTGCCTTGCTCCGCTCCCGGCTCCACGGCGAGCAGTCGGGCATCTCGCCGGCGCGTGAGCGTCGCCGGCCGTAGTAACGGCGGGGGTGGGGTGGTGCCCGGCGGCGGTGACGGCGGGGAGTTGGTGGTGGCGGCGGTGGCTGAGCGGCCGGGGCTTAGGCTCATGCGGATCGTTGGGTCTCAATACGACGCCACGGATGGCGTGGAGGCCATGGTGGCCAAGGCAGAAGCCAAGGTCAAGGTGAGAGGGACGGCGGTATCGATGCACCGAGAGTTTTTTTTTTGCGAGTCAAGGTGCTCGATGTCGTGTTGGTTCTTTATCCACAGGGGCGGGGGGGGGGGTTGGGGGGTTGGTTCGGGGGGCTTTTCCGCTGGTGCCTCGAAGGCCTAGGACAAGAACGCGCTGCAAGGCAAGCGTTGGGGCTAGCTTTCAGACTCCTTGTCGTCACTATTGAGCGGTGGTATGGTACTTTCATAATACTTTCATCGGCGTATACAAGTTCGGGTTGATGGCGAGCAAAGCTTTGGTTGTATGTACCGTTTGTGTTTGTCTCTTGTGGCTCTCGGGAATTCCCCAACCCACCGCTTGGATTGACAGAAGCGGATTTTGTGTTAATTTACTCGAGAGATTATCCGCTTGACTCATGGCGACGTGTAGAAGCGTCATCGTTTCCTTCTATCTATTCAATGTTCGATTTTCTTTTCCTTCTCTATTGTACTCCTTTCACTTGTCAACGTGTACAGCCTTCGCCGGCTTTTTTCTGTTTAATTCAATGCTTTTTTTGTTTTCGTCGCCTCCGCACACTCCGTACACCCCCGCGAACACGCGCAGCAACTCGAGCGCGCAGCGGTGACGGTGGCGGCAACAACGGCGGCGGCAGCGGCGGCATCGAAGTCTGGCCGTGCCGGGCGGACCACGTTGTCATCATCATCGGCGTCGCCAGGAGAAGCGGGAGAAGGGGCGCTAGGCTCGTCGTCGACCTCGGCGATGATTGCCGTCGGTGGTCAGGAGCGGGAAGAAGCCCTGGCGCGGGGACGGCGGCTCCGGCGAGAGCGGGAAGGGTTGGCGCTCCTGGCGAAGGAGACGGCGAGGCTCTCGTTCTCCTTCCCCATTCGTGAGGTACGCGTCTGTTGTTGTTGTTGTTGTTGTTGTTGTTGTTGTTGTTGTTGTTGCCGGTATTGCGGGAGGTAAATAGGCGTGTGTGCGTCTGTGTGTGTGTGTGTGTGTGTGTGTGTGTTTTTTTAATGTTTGGTAATGCGGAGGGCGTGTCTGTGTGCAGTAATGGCGGCAGACGGACGGATCCTGGCGAGTCTTGTGCGGTCTGGGGGTCGGTCATGCGTACGCCATGCTGGTGCGACTCGATAGGTGCCAGCGGTGCTTTCGTTTCGACCCGCCTCCGTGTGTGCGTGCGTCGGTCATTTGAGTGAAGTGGTTCGTGCACCTTTGCCACAGCTTTTGTCGTCCACCAAACCGTACCCAGTGCGTCGGGCAACAGGCATGCTAGTGCCGTTTTCTTTTTCTAGCGACGGTAATTTTCGCTCCTTCGGCGCAGCATGGAATATGTCCTTGACCAGTGGGTGGAGCGTTTGCTACACCACAACGCATACGTCCTTCGGCGCGACGACATTTTTGTTTGTTTTGTTTCTGTGCCCGGGCAACAAATGGCATAACGGCAATGGCAGGATGCCAACCGCCTCCTCCCTGATTGGTCACTCTGTTGTTGCTTTTGGTGTCGTCCCGAATACGACGTGTTCCGCCCGCAAGATGTCTTTCGTTCCCTCCCGGTGTTGTGAATCTGCAAAACAATGTTGTCTGGGTGTGTCATCCAGGTCGGCAGGACTGTGACCCAGGATGAGCTTGCCACGAAGTTGGGCAACAAGCCGAGTACCATCGCCACGCCACAGCAGCAGCAGAGGACGCCTTCGCGCCTAGTCACGTCCGGGCGAGGGCCGGGGTCAGTCCACCAGCCGTCGTCAGCGTCCTCCAGGTATGAGATCTCCTTTCCCGCCAACTTGCTCCCGACATCGGGATACAGTGAGCCACCGGTACGTAGAACTCCACTCACTTCATGCTTATGCCATGCCGAACGAGTCGCAGTATATTACCGAAGCGACAGACCGGAATTTGTTCTTTCCTCTTCGCTCCGCGGAAGCTCCGTGGAATCCACACTCTGCGACACGCGCATCGCCCCCCACGCCGCGCACGCGTGGGTTTATTTCGCTTTCTGGTCGGACAGGAGGGATCTGGTCTCCGCGTCGCCGTCCATGGGTGCAGCAGGCGCGGCGGCAGCGGCCAAGATCAGCGGCGCCGGCACCGGCACCGGCACCGCCGCCGCCACGCCCTCACGTGGCTTCGGCGGTGTGTTTTCGTCGCCGAATCCGGCGACCACGGCCGCCGCTTCCGCAGCAACGGTTCCGTCCGGCGCCACCACCACCACCACCGGCGGGGGACAAATGACGAGGACGACGTCGGTCGTGCATGCCGGGTCGAGGCTAGGCGGGGGCGTCCGGCGAGAGAGATCTGGGGCGTTCGCCGCCGGCACCAGCGGCGGCGAAACCAAGCGGACCTCCCCCGCGACGTTCGCCTTCGGCTCGCCCGCTGCCGCTCCAGCGGCGGCGGCGGCGGCGGCAGCGGCGTCTTCGAAGCCGGCAACGGTGGCGACACCTTCGGCGCTGCTGTTCGACTCAGGCGCCGCCGGCGCCGGGGCGAAGAAGGCGGCCCCTGGTGCTCAGGATAAAAAACCTGCGCCCCCGCCAGCAGCCGCCGCCGCGAGCTCCACGAAGAGCAGCAGCAGTAGCTACCCGCCGATGGCCGCGACGGCGCCGAGCGTCTTCGGGGGCGCCAAGAAAACACCGACTCCTGCGGCTCCCGCGACGGCTCCCGTCCCTGCCGCTGCTGCTCCTCCTGCTGCTGCGAAGCCAGCAAAACCTGCAGGAGGAACCTCAAGCTTCCCCCCCATGGCGAGCGCGGCGCCGAGCGTTTTCGGCTCGGCGAAGTCCTCTTCTGCCGCAGCAGCAGCGCCGGCGCCGGGTAAGGCTGCAACTTCTACCACCGCCACTCCCGCAACTACAGCCCCTGCCACAGCTGCTGCGGCAGCGGCAGCGGCAGCGGCGCCGCTGCCGACTCCGTTCGGCGCCGGAAGCGGGTTCGGAACTGCCAAGCCTTCGCCGTTCGGTGGGGCCGGCACGGGCGCTGGCATTTTCGGCGGAGGTGCAACTCTGTCCGCTGCAACCACCGCTGCCACCGCCACCGCCACCGCCGCCGCTGCTCCAGCGACGTCGACGGCCACGACCGCGACGACGGCGGCGCCGGCGACTCCGGCTGCTGGTGCCGCGACTGCTGGTGCTGCTGGTGCTGCTCCGGCAACGACAGGGTTTGCGGGACTTAGCGCTCTGTCTTCCGCCGCGGCGTCAACCTCGGGTGCCGCCGCGGCCGCTGCCCCCGCTCCCGGTGTGCCCAGCGGCGGGGGTGCGTTCGGCATGGGCGGCTTCGGAGCGGCGCTCGGAGCAGCCGCAGCGACGCCAACCCCGGCCCCGACGGCGGCGGCGGCCGCGGCGGCCGGGCCGGGAGATTACCGAGCGCAGGTATTGGAGATCTACAACAAGTACAACCCGAGCAAGCTGGGCGAAGTGGACGCCATCCTCAAGAAATATGCGTGAGTGTGTGTGTGTGTGTGTGTGTGTGTGTTCCTCCCATCTATTCTGGCGCCGGTTTACCACAGGTCTTTCGGCGTGTTGTAGGTGATGCGTTTTGCGATGCTCGTGGTGTTTCGTCTGTCTTTTGGGTTCTGTTGTTTTGTTTTGCCAGCGCGCCTCTTTTCCTCTTGTCCGCACATACTCCATGATGAAAAACAGAAATACTTGAACGAAACCTCCCATCGACCCCATTTCCTTTCTCACCCTTTCTCACCCTTCCTCTCGTCTTCGTGCTTCGGCACGATGACTACGGCCACACTCGCCCCCCCCCCGCACGCCTCTTCACGGTTGTTGCCACCAAACTGCGGCCACCCACCAACACTATCACCACCGGTGGCGCGTAGTGGTCGCGAGGCGAACCTGATCGAGAAGCTCAAGAAGAAGTACAACGTACCGGCCGGTGCGACCGGCGCTGCCGGCGCCGCGTCGCCGTTCACCACCCCTAGCAAGCCCGCCGCCGCTGGTGCCTCTGCGGCCGGTAATTTGTTCAGATCGGCGGTGGCGACGCCGTCACCGTTCGGAGCGGGATTTGGCGCCGCAAAGCCGGCGTTTGGCGGGGGGGGCGGGTTCGGTCAGGCGAGTCTCACCGCTATGCTTTCAGTAGACAACGGCGACAGTATCAGTAGGACAGCGGCCGGGATCCCTGTGTTTGACCACACATATACAAGACGTCCTTCACCCGTTTTCTAGACAAAGATGGGATTTCAAGCTGGCTGGTACTCTGAATAGAGCCGGGTGCTTGGTATCATGCCGCCGGCCTAATCCCTTGGCACTATGCGTCTCTGTACGGGGGCCGCCATTGCCGCTGTAGCCGTAGCGGCAATTTGCTCAAGCGTGCGTAGGGGACGGCAGCACACACGTGTGCATACAGGGTGGTTGTTGTTGTGCGTGCCGCAGCGGTTGGTGATTGGCCGGACGGGTCGCGGATGGATGTATTTTGCGCGTGTGACGGGCGCACGGACACATTTTGCGTATACACGCGCACTCGTGTACCGTACGATGTTGATATTTAGAAAGAGCCTGCTTGTGCTTTGGAGAGTGAAGTGACCCTGTTCGATCATTGGGGCTTTGTTGAACTGCGACGTACATTGTCAATGAAGGAAGGCACGCCAACGAACCTGCCGGAAACCTCGCCCCCGTCCCTGCTCGATTTTCCAGTCCCCAGCTGCCCCGTCACCCTTCGGACAGCAAACCCCTGCTGCCGCCGCTCCAGCACCAGCCACTTTCGGGTTCGGCGCTTCCTCCACCCAGGTCTCTAGCACCCCCAGCCCGTTCGGCGCCCCGGCTGCCGCCGCTGCTCCCACCGCGTCTCCGTTCGGAGCTGCCGCCCCCGCCCCTTCCCCGTTCGGGGCTACCCCCGCCGCCGCACCGGCCGCTTCACCGTTCGGAGCTCCCGCCGCCACCGCTCCCGGCGCTTCGCCGTTTGCTGCAGCGCCGGCTGGGCGAGGTGACCCCGCGTTGCTTCGGGCGTGGATGCAGGAGGTGTACACCAAGTTTAAGCCGGAGAACGTACCGAAGATCGACCGGCTTCTGGTGAAGTACACGTGAGCGTGAGAGGGGGGAGGATATATATATGTATTTATGTATATATAGAGAGGGCCACGGGAACGTACAGTCTTTGTGTGACAGAAAAAACCCAGATTGGACTACCCCTACCCGTAGACATACCTCATCGCTCAAGCTTCTGATTTGTGTTGATTGATCGGATCTTTGTTGGTTTGGTGGTGTTTTTTGGTCCTCGTGGACGACATCGTGCACCGGCACTCGTTTTGTCTGCGTTGTGTGTATTTTGTTTGCATGTTCGAACGCATCCGCCCTTTCGGTTCGAGGTGTTTCTGTTCCGCCCATGTGCGGTGTCCAAGTAAGCGCTACTCCCGGGTACATGTACCTACCTCCCACGTCGGAATTTTTTTTCCTCTTCTCTCCTCCGATCCACGCCCACCACAACAGCCCAAACCTGACTTACTAGCTGCTGCACACACACACCTTCAGGAACAACGAGTGGAAGATGATCGAGGGCATCCTGAAGAAGTACGCCCAGTACGGCGTAGGGCCCCCCGCCGGATGGTCGGCGCCCGGAGGCGCGGCTTCGGCGCCGGCGGCGTCCGCGCCGGCTCCCATGGGCTTCGGCCAGGTCTGTCCGTCTTCGCGTCTCTCGAGTCTTTGGTTGGTAGCGGTGACAACGTCGTGGGCTTTGGATGACCTTACGCCTTGTTGCTGCTCTATTATTCTGTAGCGTGTAGGTGGGTTTCAGGATGTTGCTTGCCGTTGCGATCGTCGTCGAGGAACGGTTGTCTTACGGTTTGTTTTGGCTGGCTCTTGGGGTTCGTCACCTGTTTGCGTTGGAGGAAAGCTGCCTTTGGCGTCATTTTTGCCTTGGGTTTGGTCGTGTGCGTTGCGTCCGTTCTTTTTTTTGTTGTTTCGCATGCTTTGCGCATAGTGTCGACTAGAGCGCTGCGTCTGCCCTTGCTATTCGACGCCAACACATCGTACGGCTCGCTTCTAGATACATTGCCCATGAACACTGTTGTTGGCTTGGGTCGTCACTAGCTGGCATCCTCTCTGACCTCTCGAAAACGTGACATTTATGTTCGGTTTTCCCTTCCATTCTTTGCCTCTTGATTTCTCACTGTCCTATTCATTCTATCGCTCCAAATTCATTCCTGTCGGGCTTCATGGTGGTTCCGCTTGTGTCATGTTTCGTTCTTTGTCTTCCGTCTTCTCATGACATTCCCCTATCTTCTATTCATGTTCCAATACTCCCCTCCCCTCTCACTCGTCCCCTCCGTCTCGTCAGTCACTCTTCTTCCTCCCTCCACTCTTAGTGGTTCCCTTGTTTGTTTTCACCTTCTCTTGATGCCCTCTTGAACAATGAATTATCCGTTCTTTTCCTGCTATTTTTTTGTGTTGTGGTCGTTCAGACGGCGCACCCCGCCTTCGGCCAAGTATCTGGGTTCGGCGGAGCGACCTCGGGTTTCGGCCAACAGCAGCCACAGCAGCAGCCACAGCAGCAGACTCCTTTCGGGCAACCGGCCCAAACTGGCTTCGGTGAGTTAGTACTGTAGAATGGTAGCTGTTACAGGTGAAACTCCCGCTTTGACGCGGTAGTTGTCACAAGAGCACCTTCGAGGAAGCTGTGTGCAACAGGGCAACCCTGGGTACCTACTATGTGCAGTGCGTGTCTCCTTTGCCTTCATCGTGAAGAAGTTAATTTGTGAAATATACATGGCCCTGAAGATTGACTTCCGCAGCTTACTTGGGGATCTATGGTCCACTCGTTCTCGTGGTCTGCAGTGGATGAAGCCCCGGACATGGTTTTCCACCTCTACGTCGTCTTCTCTCTAGCGGGGCTGATCTCGCCGCAATCGAGGCGTGCCGTGTGTTTCGTAGCGGCGGGTAGGAATGAAACCCGTCCCCGTTGTGCGTGTCTTGTTTTCTCTCAGGTGCTCCTGCCACCGGCTTCGGGTCAACGCCGGCTCCCGCGAGCAATGCCTTCGGGGGCACCGGGTTCGGCGCGCCGAGTAGCCTGGGCGGCGGCAGCGTTTTCGGGGCTCCGGCGGCGGCGGCGGCCACGGCGGGGGGCCCGACCGCAACGGCAGCGCCTACGGTGAGGCTTGCGGATGGGGTAAGAGTGAACCTTTCCGCTGCAGAGGCGTTGCTTGCGTTTGGGTGCTTTTCGGTGGTGCTTCGAGCGATATTTTGTATGTAGCACGCGACATTGTGCGTAGACAGGAGATGGAAGCTGGGGGCGGCGTGTGCGCGAAGCACGCGTGGGTTCGCCTTTATTATGATGTACACACCGGCGGTGTCTTTTGCCGGTTGTTCGGCGTGCAGCAGACGGGAAGAGAAGCAAGCAGAGTCAAGTGTGTTGAGGTCTCCAAGAGCCCGCGGCGAACGGCAACTTCATGCCCACTCCACGCACCCCGTTGCCCGATGACTGGCTTGCTAGTTCCTTCCGTTGGTGATGTGCGTGGATCTTCATCACCCTTTGCGCCTTTACGGCATCAAAGCTTCTGTTGGTTATGCTGATCTGCATCACCCGGCATCCACCGTATTCCAACCGGAGCCTGTATTGTATTCCGTGTTTTTTTTTTTTTCCTCTTTTCGACGTCGTGGTCGTCGTGGTCGTCTCCATCATCATCGTTGTCATCGTCGTTGACGTTATCGTGGTCTCATCGCAGGCGGGCGGTTTCAGCGCCTTCGCTGCCGCCCCCGGGGCAGCAGCCGGGGGGGGTTTCGGCGCCTTCGCCAGCCAGGGCGGCGGTGGCACCGGGTTTGGCTCGGCGGCGGCGGGCGCTGGCGGGTTCGGCGGCGGGGGAGGGTTTACCGGCAGCAGCTTCCGTCAAATGCGAGGGTAGTTGATCTCCGCCTGCTACCCCGCGGAGGAAACGGGAGGGGTTATTTTGGAGGAGGGACGCAACATGTGGTATCTACCGTGGTTGTTTCCGCCGTACCAGAGCTGGGTTTGGGTGGGCAACTTCGTGTGTCAAGTATTATCAGGCGAAGCCCTTGCTTTCGGTACCGATGTGCCCGGGAGCGCGCTGGGCCTTCTGTAGTTTCAGGGCTTCCTGTTCCTAAGAGAACGAGGAGTGAGTGATGGTTGGACCATCCCCCTCCCCCGCCGTGTGATGTGCGCTGTGGGAAACGGAGAGAGAAAAGGTGCCCGCAGTTAATTGATTGGCCAAGTCCTTGAAAGGAACGTTCCAAACAAAGAAAGGCGAAAATTCAAATTTTGGCCGTGGATGACTGGTGGATTGAGTGATTGATTGATGACCTCTCAGGCGGTATCGCCCACCAACAGGTGCCACAAATGCACCGAATTACACATTCACCCGACCTGACCAGCCTCTATCAACAACCCCGGCCACAACATCGACTTGACTACAGCAATAGTCTATAGTTTGGTTTCGGGCGCCAGGAATCGGTACAGGACCGCACACGAAGCAAGCAGCGATTGTCGCTGTGGAGCAGATTTCGGGCACAAGATTGTTCATGAGGTGGTGTCTTTAAAGTTGGAACCGTTTTGGTCTCTGCTTTGTACCTTCTGGCATCCGTACCCGTTCCAACCGATGCTGACGCCTTCCGCGGTCGGTCGGTTGGTCGCAGGCCAGCTATCCTGCACAGAAGCAGACCGGAGTTTGTCATATACGATGGTGACGCTTGTACTTTGTGGAAGTCTTGGGTGCTGGAAGATTGACAGTACTTTGGTTGCGGCAGGGCAGGAGCGAGTGCGACCAAGGAAGAGAGAATGGGATGTCTGTTTGGGTGTCCAGACGGGTTGGTGTAGATGGTGCTGGTGTTGTTGGTCACTCCCGTGCTCCGACGCCGCTCTTGAGGACAGCGAGTTTGGTAAACACGGCTCTGGGAAGAGAGCCAAGTGCAACACGCCTCGGCTAGGGCGGAGCACCAGAGATTACTGCGAGTAACGACCTTCGTTTGTCTGTATTTTTGTTGAGCGTCCTTTTCCAATCAATAATGAGGTGAGGTGATGCAACATTAGTCAGCACGACCAACTGCAGTGTCACGTGTCACTGGCCCTCTGAAATGAATGGCGGATACCATGCTGGTGACATGGCAGCTGTTGTCGAAGTGTGGTGCTGCGGGGGATTGGAGTAACCATGATCAATTCACTCGTTGTAAGTCGAAACGAAATCAGATGAAATAGCGACGAAAGGAAAATGCCAGCGTCTGGTTTCGTCTCTATTCGTCGTGCCGAGATCAGCCCCGCCGCGAATTGTTCCCCGATGATGACACTCTCGCACACACGTGCCAAGAGGAAACAATCGAAGATTGCTTACAGAGCAGATCGTCTCGCGGAGGACCTGCTTGTTCGTGGTGGAGCCACGGAGCGGAGCGGTTATCCGAGGGCAACATCCCCACCCAGCGCGGAGTTTGGTCTATCATGTCAAGGAACAGAGCGGAGCGCACTTACTCATGGAGACATGGACATGTTAACCAATGAATGGTCGTTTGCCTGGTACACGGTTTTACTACGGAGCGGCTTATACTCCGAGAAATTCACCGCTAGCGTGTGGTAGCCTCGGCGGCGGCGCGCCGCCAGGCTAAGCCGTACATCTGTTGTGTGTTGTGTGTGTTTTGGTCCTATTTATTATGGCGACAGTCCCCCCATTGTTCATGGTGAGACGTGTACTACACTCTTTCAGCGTATGTAGAGTACTACACTTTTCAGTGTATTTTTTCGTACAACTACGACCATCCAGGGTCACACAGGAGGGGGTAAACACCAGGGCTTTCTTCATCATTTTTATTTACTTTGATGCGCCACCTTCCTCCTGCGGTGCGTGCTGAATTTTATTTTTATCGCGGGAAGGGTCCAGCCATCCCTTTCCCTCGTCAAAGGTGCTAACGTCGAAGTTTGGTACTCACGAGAGCTTTTCAGCAAGTTTCGCTTTCACCCGCAAAGCTTGCAATTTTTTCACCCCCGTAGGGATTGGAACTCACGACCTCTGCAACGAGTGGTTTACGAGGATACCACTAGACCACCGGGGCGTTGGGAATCATGCAAATACGTATCCGCACAGAGCAACACACCGCGGGTCGTGAAATCCCGAAGCTGAAAGCTTCAGTCTGTCCGACTTTAGTTCATTTTTTTCGCAGATCGTCTCATTCGGATTCCCCCCCGTTGCCCGGCCGTGTCTCAAAAGGCCCACGACATCTCGAGTATGCCTTGATAACGCATCCCAAATCATGGCTAGTCGCCAGGTTTGATCGACTTCCGCGTGCAGTAGCGTACGTCACAAGTGTGCGGCCATGTGTGACGATGCGCGCTGTTTCTCGTCTTTACTGGTTCGCCGTCTTGCTGTCCTCATCGCTCTTGTTGGAAGATTCGAATCTCATGGTCAGCTTGTGTGGCAGAAATCAACAGGACCGATGTTGACTGTATTAGCATATAAACCTGTGCGCCCATGTGCGACCATATGCCGCCATGTGCGCTGTTTCTCTCCTCCCCACCTGTGTGCCGTCTTCCTGTCTTCATCGCTCTTTCTATTTCGTATGACCTATTTCGGAAAAAATCGAATTTCAGTGTCCGCTTGGCATCAACCAACGGCATCATGTCCATTCATTTCAGTGGCGGCTTAGCAAGGGTGCCGGGAAAAATATTTTCCGACACCTACTTACCGTACAGAGGTGATGGAGGGTGTGTGTGTGTTCGTGGGTCTGCGAACATTGGTGTTGGATACATGTGCTGGATGATTTGGTGTCACGCAGACTGATAAGATTGCCAATTGGCAGGGGGCACCGCGATGATTAATGGGCCCCCTCCTTGCTGTGGTAGCCGCTCTCTGAGCACTCCCTCGTTCGTCCGTGTGAAGGACGGTCGTCTACCTCTCGTGAATTTACTACATCATCAAAACAGTCTCACCCGATAAATAAGTGGCGTAGGCCGCAAATGCTCTAGAGTTTTTGCCCCTCGAGGGAGGCCACATTGGGATGAGCTCTGCTGGAGACGAAGAGCGCACTGCAGCGAGCGGAGAACAGATCCGCTCGCCGGTGCAGGAGGGCAGCGATGCGGAGCTTGCAAGTTTGCAACTACAGATTTTGCAATTGGCGGCCCTGCCTGGTGGAGGAGTCGGTGAAGAAGAAGGAGCCTGGCAGCGTCGTGGCGGATGCAGCCAGGCGGCTGTGTTGTCGCCCCCGAAGGCCAACAAGAAGAGCCCATGCAGCCGCACGGCGGAGGCGGGGGAATTCTCCAGCAGCAAGCGAGAGATGGTGAGCAAGGACCACGGCAGCTGCTGGAAGGCGGCTGGGCCAGCAGATCGGGAGCGAATCCTG